TGTGTGTGTGTGTGTGTGTGTGTGTGTAGACCTGTGCAGTGCAGTGGGCGGGGTCAGGAGTGTTGGTGTGTCGACACTGAAGGTCAGGAGGTCACTGGGACTCGAACCAGCGGCTCAGCTCCTCATTGTGAGAAACACCAAAACACACACGTCTGACATCACAGATGCAGGAAGTCAGCTGTAAACCTTCTCTGCTCTTAACATCACGTTTAATTCTCGTGCTGGTGTTGTATGATGGTAATAATGATAATAGTGTGGAAAATAAATGAACATATAACAGCACAGACAGGCCCAAATAAGCTCTAAAGTAGGAAAGTATAAAAATAATAATAAAACAAATTACGTCATACTTTTGAAAATTGCTCATTCATATAAAAATAAACATAAGTAGCTTAAACATTACTGTAATCTTTCTTAACGTGTTTTTTCTTGCATATTTCAATATTTACCTTCAGGAAAATGAAGCTCTGAGAATCTTTTATTTATAATCATTAAAGGATTAAAGGACATTTAGATTTTATATACACAAATTTACAATCCTAAACACATTTTTCTTAATAATATCCTGCTTTCTTCTCCTTTTTTTATTTTTTAATAATAATACATTTTATTTGTGCCTTTCAGAACACTCAACAACACAGCAGAATAATAAAAGCAACATAAGAGCAAGCGGTATGCGACATAAAAGAAATTTAAAATAGCAGAGTTTATGTGGGATGAGCTATTTTGCTATTATCGCAGTTAAAATTGACACTTTATAGAAATTTCAATCTATATAAATAAAAACAGAAGATGAAGAATAAGAAATTCACGGATCTCCATTCAGAGAAGCAGTCAGTGGAACAAAAGAGCATACAAGACACCAAGAACAAGAAGTTAGGAGGAGGAACAGTAACGCGAGTCTGTGTGCGCAGGCCCGTCTCCCTGCCAGCTGCAGGCCGTCCTGCGGTGTTCGCCTTCAGGCCTCTTTGAGCCAGTTCAGTGTGACTCCAGCAGGGGGCAGTGCTGGTGTGTGGATCAGGACGGCATGGAGCTCTACGGGACCAGACAAGACGGGAGGCCCCGCCGCTGTAAGTTTTCCAGAGTGGGTGTGAAATCGGCTGCTTAGCGCGGCAGCTCTGAGTGTTCGGGTGTTGCTGGAGCTCTGTGGGCTGTTTTCTCTCTTCACTGGAAGCTGGAATGAAGTTTAAAGCACGTGGTGCATGTGGCTAATCTTTGTTTATCTGAACACCAAGTTTTTAACTTACCAGCTTATACAAACCTGTTACTCCTCCCGCCTCCTGCTCTGATTTCTGTTAAACTGCGTTTGCTGAGATCATCAGACTCATCGACCTGCTGACCTCTGACCTTCAGGTCCCGGCGGCTGTGAAGTGAGGTCCAGGCGGCTCCTTCACAGCTCCTCCAGGTCGTCTTCTCCTCCTCAGTGTGCTGAAGATGGCAGCTTCCTCCCGGTCCAGTGTAAATTCATCAACACCACAGACAGAACAGAGCTGGACCTGCTGCACGCCTTCAACAGGTAACGTACCTGCCTGCACACCTGCCTGCACACCTGTCTGCACACCTGTCTGCACACCTGCCCGCACACCTGTCTGCACACCTGCCTGCACCTTCACACAAATGCGATGATGCCTGGAAGCATTTTAAGTCTGGCTCTGTAAACAGTGATGAGCCGAATGGTCACGTGATCTGTGACCTCACCCATCAGTCGCTGTTTTAGTTTTTATTGAATAAAACTTGATGAGATTTTGGAAATGATGCTTCCATCAGAGCCAGAAAGGACCAGGAGGCGGGCGCTGGGTGAGGGCGGAGCTTGTGCGCCTGTGCAGTTGTCTTGGCTTCTTTCCACATTTGATCAGTTTCATGTTTTTATCATCTCTGTAAATATGAAACATAAATATGTAAAGATGATTATTATGTAAATATTATAGGTACAGTAACAATGAGCGTCCTGTTGCTGCGGCTTTGAAGACGTGACACTAGTTCAAAATTAACGTTGAAAGTTGGCGTTTAAACTGAAACCCTTGAATCCATGTCTGAGGTCATATAGTGCATATAAAAGATCATAACGGGACAGTGAGGGAAACAAAGCCAAACATGAAAACATGGGACAGCAGAGTGACGGGTGGTGCAGAAAACTGGTGGTGAAAAGAACAACTGGCGGAATTAAAGCCCCCTGTGCAGCAAAACAAAGATTTCAAAATAAAACAGGAAGTGGCGCTGTGAGTGTGTTTGTTGTTTCAGGTTTCCAGAAGCCTTTGAGACGTTCAGCAGCTTCAGGAAGTTTTTCCCGCTGGTTTCCTCCTACTGCTTCTGCTCAGACAGCCGAGGCCGAGAGCTGGAGAACACAGGTACACACACACACACACACACACACACACACACACTCAAACTAACAAAATGTATTTATTCATCAAGAAAATCTTCATCAGACAGAATCATCAGGTCCGTAAGGATGATGATGATAACAGCGGTGACTGTGATGAAGGTGTGCTCTTTCTGCCCAGGTGTGGAGCTCCTCCTGTCTGAGGTGTACGACTCGGCGTTCTCTGGTCTTCGCTCCGGTCACTCCTTCTCTCAAACCAACATCTACCGAGTCCTGCAGAGGAGGATGCTGGGAGTCCGCCTCGCCCTCACCGGACACTTCAGATGTAAAATTATTTAGAAAAACGCCTCCTGCTGGTTCAATCTTTTCAAACTGAGTTATGGCTGCTGTACGGTGGAGACACTGGTCAAAGCTGGTTGGGTTAGCTGGATTGGTTTGGACTGTGATTTAGTTTAAAGTAGTTTTATTGTAGGTTAACTGTGACGTGTCCAACTGTGTAAGTCAGGCAAGTGTTTCATGTTGTTGTGGAGGTCAGGCCATTGTTGCACCTGGACAAACACCTTGCTGCGATATCAGAGCTTTCCTCCTCCACTGGCAGTGTTGGAGGTAGAATGGAACGGCTTCATGGAAAGTTTGCTGTTCGTGCATCATCTCGTTTTAAAAAGTGTAGAAGGAGGTGACGGCTGGATCAGATCACACTGGTCTAAACACGTATGTGACCTCCACCCATCCTGCTCTCTGTCTCAGGCCCATCTCCCTGTGAGGAGGAGCGGCGAGCAGCGATGGAGGCGAACAGCGTATTCATCCCATCCTGTGAGAGCGGAGGAGCCTTCGACTCCAAACAGTGCCAGCAGGGGGGGCAGTGCTGGTGCATTGACCCCGCGGGGAGAGAGCTTCCTGGGACTCGGCAGCACGGAGACTCCCTGACCTGCAGTGAGTGTTTGAGCTCTGTGTCCAAATTTTTCTTACACTTCTTCTCATTTGTCTCAGTTTCTGCATCTGTCTTCAGAGCTCCTGATGCCTTATCTCGTTTATCTTTTCTCCTCCTCCAGGTTCAGGTCCAGCCGACTGCCGCTCTCAGCGCCGTCTGGCTCTGTCCCGTCTCCTCTCTGGTCCCGTTGAGCCTCCTTTTCAGGCCTCCTCTGGTAGCCCTCCAGCCTCCTGTCTCTCCCTCCTCCAGCCTCTCAGGGACCTCCTCCCAGTGGACTCTGACCCCACCTCTTTTCTGTCTCAGCTGGTCGAAGTCCTGCATGGCCTGTTCCCCTCTGTGGGCGGGGCTCTGCAGGCTCTGACTCGCTCCTCCCCCCGGCGCTTCCAGGAGAATCTGTTCGGAGGGAAGTTCCTGAAAAACGCAGCAGCTTTCAACTTCAGTGGGGCGGTGGGATCTCGGGGAGCTCTCAGTCTGGACCCGCCGTCCTCTCAGAGCCTCGCTGTCCGCCTGCAGAGGAACCAGGACCTGGTCCAGTCTGTCAGCAGAGCCCTGGAGGACCCCGCCTTCCTCTCCACCCTCCAGCAGATGCTGACGGGTCTCAGCAGCTCTCAGTCTGCCTCCGTGGAACAGGTGACGTTTTTACGCTGCCGTGCATTTGTGACACACACCTGAACATCCTGCCTGGTTCTGCTTTTAAAGAGAAGCTGGAACAACATCAGCGTCTAACCTGCCGATCCAGTTCATCCCATCATCTTCTGTTGACTCGTGCGCATCTAGTTTCTCTCCATCATCACTTAAAAATGTTGATATTTTCCAGGTCCTCACTCCTCTGCTGCGCTCCTGCTCCACGGATGATGACGATGACCTGGCGGCCATCTTTGTTCCCAGCTGCACACAGAGCGGTGCTTTCCAGGAGGTCCAGTGTCAGGGTGCAGAGTGTTGGTGTGTTGACCCTCAGGGGCGGGAGGTGAAGGGGTCTCGGACCGTCACTCGACGACCTCGCTGTCCGTCTCCCTGTGAGAGAGCGCGGGCGGCGGCCCTCGAGGTGAGATCGAACATGGCGGCCAGTGCTGAAATCCACATCCCGGCGTGCTCGCGGGATGGAGACTTCCTGCCGCTGCAGTGCGTCGGCTCACGGTGCTTCTGCGTGGACGCTGAGGGGAAGACAATGACTGTCGGGCCAGCAGGGGGCGCTGTCACCTGTAAGACTCAGAAATATTTCAGCTCAGAGATATTTGTATTTTTTATGTTGGAATAAAAAAACAGGAAGAAAAATAAATTTTTTTAAAGTGGAAGAAGAAGCGTAAAAGCCGCAGGCGATCATTAAACACTCGCTCATCATCAGATTGAATTCTGAGCAGCTGCTGTGCACGGACGCTGTAACCACAGACTCGCTTTTTCCTCCAGCAGTGCTTCAAGAGTTTTACCTTGAAAAAACTCAGATTGCAGCAGTTCTAAACTATAAGTAGTTCTTCTGTAAAGATCCGGTTTTGTCTTGTTTTGAGTTTTTTGTATTTTATACTTTGTGTTCACAAAGTTACAGGATGCTCTGTTGTTTCGTTTCAGGTCCAGAGAGAAAAGCAGAGACGCTTCGAACCTCTGCAGGTCAGATCGAACCTGACGCCTGAGTCCAATCAGACCCAAAGTTCAGCCTCAATTTTGGGACATTAAACATAAACCGTTTCATTCATTTATGTGACAAATTGTTTTTGTGCTTAATGAACTTTGTCTTTCACGTGAATTTTCTTTCTTTCTTTCTTGGATTGTTTAAATTTCCTGACTCACAGTCAGGCGGTTACAGTTATTTTAACTCGGCGCTTCATCTCTCTCGCTGTCGTCTGACTGAACGACGTGTCTGTCGATACGTTTGTTGCAAATCAGGCAAAAAGAACAAAGAATGTTTTAAAAAATAAATACAAAACAGTGAAAAAATACAGAAATACAAAAGTATTTATAAACGATAAATGTTCTATAAATGAAAACAAAGATAAATAAAAGTAAATGTCAGCTTATGTCGCACTAAAGTGATAAAAAGTCATTTTTAGGTCATGTGACATACATTTATTTGATGAGTTAGTTATTTAGTTTTGATTTTGGCAGTTTTTGTCCTCCACCGTCTGGACGAGTCTGTTGTGGTCTCTGCAGGTCGGTGCTCGCAGGCGTCGGCCGAGGTCGAGACCTTCAGACAGGAAGTGAAGAGCATCGTCTCGCTCTCTAACTCCTCCCACATCCCTCTGGGATATGGATTCCTACTGGCCGAAGGTCTGCGTCTGACCCGTGAGGAACTCCAGATCAGCCAATCAGAGGAGGAACTGCAAGTTTCTGAGACGCTACTGAGGCGCCCCAGAGCTGCTCTGCGATTGGCTGCTTTCTCCAGTGAGTCACAGACTTTCAAAAGGATTTAAATCATATATATATATAAAATACTTTTATTGTGGAATAAAAATGTAGTTACGGTCGTGCTTCCTGTAGTCCCAGGAACTGTTCTCAAGGCACTAAAGCAACAAAACAAAAGAAAAGTTCTAACTGGACCTGAACCATGCTCAGGTTTTTAACCCTGGAGCCGACCCCATTGGTTCTCCAGGGTTAAACGAGAGTCACACAAGTCTAAGGAGCTTACAAAGAAAAGCGTCTGGACTTCTTTAAGTTGCTTGAAGACGTTTCACCTCTCATCCGAGAAGCTTCTTCAGTTCTAAGGTCAAATGGTGGAGAGTCCCAGATATAAACCTAGTGGGAGTGTCCCCCCACAGAGGGACAAAAGGACCCCTGATGATCCTCTAATCGCCTGAGCCAAGGTGTGAAACTGGGTGTGGGTCCCAATCAGCTTCGGGTCACACCGAGAGTCACACAAGCACAATTTTAAAAAAGGCCTCAAAGGATCCAGATGAACAAAATGACAAAGAGCTGAAAGACAGAGAAAACGTTCCTCGAGCACATTTTCCTTAATTGTCTGAATAAACAAAGAGGCGTGTCCCGCCTTCGTGTCGTCGCACTGACGCTGGTCTTCTTCCTGCTCAGCTGTTCAGATGCTGCTGCCTCGTCAGCGCCGCTCGTACCAGCCGTTTACTCCTCAGTGTGACGCCGACGGACGCTGGCTGCTCACGCAGTGTTACCACAGCACAGGTCTGTCTCTCTGACACACACACGAACACACACACACACACACACACACACACACATGTTTTTACAGAATAAATGTGTTTTTCAGGTCAGTGTTGGTGTGTCGATGAAGACGGACAGTACATCTCTGATTCTCTGACCAGCCGCTCGCTCAGCCTGCCCAAATGTAACACACACACACACACACACA